CAAAATGTGATGTATCTATACAATGGAATATTATTTGGTGAAATATAAATGGAGTAATGGTACATGCCACAGCATAGATGAGCTTAGAAAACATTATGCTTGTGAAAGAAGCCAGCCACAAAGGACCGCAGCTTGTATGATTCCATTTATATGCAATGCCAAACAGGTACATTTATAGAGGTAGAAAGAAAGTAAATTAGAGGGCCAGGCATGGTGGCTCACGCCTGTAACCCCAGTACTTTGGGAGACCGAGGTGGGTGGATCACTTGAGGTCAGGACTTTGAGACCAACCTGGCCAACGTGGTGAAACCCCATCTTTACTAAAAATGCAAAAAGTTAGCCAGGGCTGGTGGTGGGTTCCTGTAATCCCAATTACTCAGGAGGCTGAGGCAAGAGAATTGCTTGAACCTGGGAGGCAGCAGTTGCAATGAGCCGAGATCTCACCACTGCACTCCAGGCTGGGCAGCAGAGTGAGACTCCATCTCAAAAAAAAGAAAAGAAAAGAAAAAAAAAAGAAAGTAAATTAGTGGTTGGCAGTGGGGAGAATGATAAGTTGGATTTGATACCTGAGAACTGTGGGGTTACTTTTTGGGGGAGTGAAATGTTCTAAAAGTGATTGTGATGGATACACTACTCTATGAATATGCTAGAAGTCATTGATTTGTGCACTTTAAATGAATGAATTGAATGGTATATGAATTGTATCTCAATAAAGCTGTTAAAAAACTATACCAGTTCTTAATTATCCATGGGACCTGTTACAAAAGGAAAAAAAAATAGAAAAATATATCAGTTCTTAAGAGAAAATTATTTATTATTATGAACAGCTGACCTGTAATACACAGATATTCATCAGAATTCATAACTTGACTTTTCAGATATGAGTCAGTTACTAACTGCATTGGAAAATCACTTGTTCGTTCTGAATAAATGATTAGGAACTCCAAAGAGAAGGACACTACATTGGGAAAATTTTAAGCATTTTCCACTGTGCAGTATAAAATATTTCCATGTTTTTGTCAGGTGTCTTAGCTCAGAAATAAAACTCCATTTTTCTTGTGTAGTACTTGGCTGCTTTCCTGCAAGAGAGCTGAAGATGGGACTTCTGATTAAGGAGTTCCTGGCTGGGAGCTTTTATCCCTAGGCATCTAAGTGCCAGAATGTTAAGAGGAAGGTGCGTTCATGCATTAGCCTTTGAATATTATTAAGTCATATGGATTCAAATGGCTTATATTAGAGTAAAGGAAGTGAATTTTCTTCCCAGTTGATTTTGTGTCATTCAGAACTCACTAACTCACTTGGATAAAACAGTGCAGTTGGTCCTCCATATCCTTGGGCTCTGCCTCTGTGGATTCAGCTAACCACAGATTGAAAATATTTGGGGAAAAAAAATTGTGTCTGTGCTGAATAAGTACAGACTTATTTCCTTGTTATTGTGTCAACCTGAAAGGAAGAAGCTGAGGTGAAGTTAATATAAGTGGAGAGTTTATTTGGGCCAAAATTGACGATTGCAGCCTAAGAGCATAGATTCAAGTTGCCCTGAATGTTCACTCTAATTAGCAGCAGTTACAAGTAGGTTTTTAAAGGACAAGAATAGTTACCCAAAAAGCTGACTAAAAGAAAAATAAATAAAGGAAAAGAAGAGGCAGTTTCTAAATTGTTCACCAAGACTTTACATTAAAATTACATAAGGTATGCCTTATTCTTTGTATGACAAATTCCAGGAACATGAATATAGTGGATGAGGCAGCTAGGGAGGAATGAAATGCCTTTAAACAGCTGCCCCCAGACGTGGTTGTTGGGAGCATAACCGAAGTCCTATACTTGATCTCCCTGGGCCTGATAAATTTTGTATACGTCACATAACTCAGACTGCTCTGAGCTATTTTTCTTTTCTCAATTGTAGTTATATTATACTGGGAGCTATTATAAGTAATCTAGAGATGATTTAAAATGCAGGTGTGCACCATATAACAACAGACTGCATGTACCACAGTGGTCTTGAAAGATTATAGTAGTGTATTTTCACTAAATTTTTTTATGTTTGGATATTTTTAGATCTACAAAGGCTTACTATTATGTTACATTTGCTACAGTATTTAGTAACATGCTGTACAGGTCTGTAGCCCAGAAGCAATAGGCTACACTATATAGCCCACGTATGTGGTAGGCCATACCACCCAGGTCCAGGTTGGTTTAAGTACACTTTGTGATGCTCACACAAGGATGAAATCACCTAAGAAGGCATCTCTCAGAACGTATCCCTGTAGTTAAGCTATTCGTGATTATATGGAAGGGTTGTATAGGTTTTGAGCAAAATGCCACCATTTTATATCAAGGACTCGAGCATCCACGGATTTCGGTATCCTGGGAGATCCTTGAACCAATCCCACATGGATACTGAGAGATGATGATATATCATAGGCAAATCTTTATTTAATGATCTTACTGATTTCTTATCTATTTTTCTATCCCATTCAGCTTATAGGCATGACTGAGAAATGAATTCTGTGCTTCATTTAGGCTGGTGCTTTATTTTAGCCACGTGAATGTCGGGAATGGAAAAAGAATTATGATGATTCTGGGATGACTTTCTAATTCCTCCCAAGTCAGATTCTCATGGTGATGTCAGTCTGTTTTTTGAAGTATTGTAACCATTTTTTTTTTTTTTTTTTTTTTTGAGACGGAATTTCGCTCTTGTTACCCAGGCTGGAGTGCAATGGAGTGATCTCAGCTTACCGCAACCTCTGCCTCCTGGGTTCAGGCAATTCTCCTGCCTCAGTCTCCCAAGTAGCTGGGACTACAGGCATGCGCCACCATGCCCAGCTAATTTTTTTTTGTATTTTTAGTAGAGACACGGTTTCACCATGTTGACCAGGATGGTCTCGATCTCTTGACCTCGTGATCCACCCGCCTCAGCCTCCCAAAGTGCTGGGATTACAGGCGTGAGCCACCACACCCGGCCCCTATTGTAACCTTTTAAACAGGTCATCCTTCAAATTTGTTCGAAAGCAAATATAAAAGCATATTCTAAAACCAGATGTGAATTAATTTTAGATTAGCTGTCATTTTAGATGATTCATGTCACTGCTCCCCTCATCATGACAGATATTTCTTGCATGCTTCTCAAAGGGACTAGGAGCTCTGCCTCAATGGGTGTTTCAGAAATAAATGATGCATTTTTGAAGTTTCTCAGGGAGATTTTTATATATCTTGAAATCTCAACAAAAACATGTCTCATTACAAAGATTAGGGATGTCGAGGAAGGTGAACCCCAATCCTGTTAACCAGACCCTCCCTCATTACTGTACCTTGTCTTTACAGGAGCTCTCCCATGAGACCACATTGTGACCACAGTCGTTGCCGGGTATGCTCAGCAAGTCATTACACCAAGGCAGGGGGTTGCAGCAGAGAAGGAGGTTTAGTCATAAGATCATTTGATGAGGAGATGGAAAGAATCCTCAGATTCCTCCTTGAAAAGTTTGGGGTTAGGGTTTTTAAGGGCTTTGGAGTGGGCTGAAGTGTGGAGTGTGGAGTTTGTTGATTGGCTGAAAAATGTAGGGTGAAGTTATGGTCAGGGAGATGAGGAAGCTGTATTCTCAGGCAGATCCTATTCCTCTGGGGGAGTTTTGAAACTGATGGCTGGAATTCAGAGTCTGAAAAACATCCTAGTTGGTCCTTAAACAAAAGTATTATGATTCTAATGTCAGAGATCCTGGATCTGTATGAACAATGGGATGCAAATGGTCAGATTTTTTAGCATCCAGGAAGTGGGCTGAAGTGCAGCCTCATTCATGCTTAATTATAACTGTATTTCTGTCCAGAACCCAGCATGCCATTTTTGTCAACCATGTGGGGCAGTTTCAGCATTATAGTGTGGTGTTCAGAGGAGAAAGATCTGATTGCTTTTGTGACCTGACTTTCTGAGATCCTTCATTTTATGGGACCGTGAGTCCTGTGTGTGACGTAGGACCAGAATTTGCTATTTGTTTTGGTGTTTCAACAATTGATGTTGTTCTAAACCCCGCAGATGATTTTAACTCTTCAGTCTTACAGTAAAAAGCACAACTGTTGGCAGAAACTAGTTATGTGTTTCAGAGTGGTCAGTTAATGACCACCCAAACAACTTTATAGAGCAGGAAGAATACATATTTCAAGTGGAGGGGAGGAAAATGTCATTTTCCCTCTACCCTTCTAATTTCTGGGCTGAAACCTCTATAACAAAATAACAGGATAATAAAAAAAAAAGCTAGCAGAAGTTTGTTAACATGTATACTTCATGTATACATGGGAGATACCCAGGAGAAAATGAGTCATTCTGAAAGAGGTGATCCAGAACTCCGGCTTATATAGCATTTGCAACTAAAAACAGAGAAGGTTGTGGGGGAAGCCAGTGGTGGGGAGGTGAACAGGACAAGTATGATAAATAAGGGTAAGGTTTGTGATGCAGATTTCAGTAGGTGCCTTCTCCATTGATAATAGTTTCTTCTGATTTAGTCATCCTTCTCTTTTGGTACAGAGAGGGAAACAGCCTTACAAATAGAGAGTTCCTTTATAGATGTACATTTCTGTCTCAAACTGGTGTACTCTGTTTTCAGAGCTTCTCCTGTATCTGCAGTTTCTCAAAATAATCCTTATGCCATTGAGGCATATTTTGGGGTGGCAGATGGTCTCCTACACAAGCAAGAGACATCTGCTGTCTTCATCGGCTCCCTGAATAACTGGTGCCAGGGAACTAAACACCAAAACTGCCATTAGTTCAGATATTATGGATTCGGTTTCTGGAACAGTCCATTGTGATGCCAACATGGTACAGGGGATTCCTCCTTGCCTTGTCCTAAGCCTGTCATCCTGCAGAACCCCTGTCTTACAGTACTGTGAAGTTCCAAACCATACCAACCAACCCTAGCCAATAGGCATTTGTGGCAATAGGAAGAAAAAGCTGATGGAGGTCTCATCTGCATTTGTTTTCTCTCTCCCATCTTCTGCATCCTTACCAGGCAAAAGTAGAAGAAAAGATCCAGGAGGTCTTCAGTTCTTACAAGTTCAACCACCTTGTACCAAGGTAAGCTGTGGTTAGGAGTTCTAGGGGATGAACACCGCCATGCCAAAGCCTTTCTTTCCTTTTTGAGCAAATCTAACCACAGGGGAGCATCCGCTGCAAAACTGGTGTTTCTTGTCCTTGTGGCTACCTGGATATGCTATGACCCTCACTCTTCCTTCTGGTAGAGTACTGTTGAGAGGCGATTCTCCATGCAAGCTGAGCTGCCAGGTGTTAACGTGGGGATTCCACTCAGTGCCTGAATTCTGAAGTCTGAAGGTGGAGCGAGGAATTCCAGGTTTTTGTTTAGTGGTGGCCTGCTGCTCTGGTCTTCAAATGAGAACTCTCAGATTTTTCTTTTTCTTTTTTTTGAGACAGAGTTTCGCTCTTATTGCCCAGGCTGGAGTACAGTGGCGTGGTCTCGACTCACTGCAACCTCCACCTCCCAGGTTGACGCGATTCTCCTGCCTCAGCCTCTCAAGAATCTGGGATTATAGGTGCCCGCCACCATGCTTGACTAATTTTCGTATTTTTAGTAGAGATGGGGTTTCACCATTTTGGCCAGGGTGGTCTCGAATTCCTGACTTCAGGTGATCCACCCGCCTCAGCCTCTCGAAGTGCTGGGATTACAGGCGTAAGCCACCGTGCCTGGCCCAGATTTTTCTTTTTCATATTGCACTTTGAGACACATTTAGAGTCCAGGGAGATGGCCAGGGATGGATTCCTTTGATGTAGATTATTATTTGATTGGAAAAGCATGAGAAGTTTGAGTTTCTCCATGCCTGCTCCCTGTTGGTAATTGTAGCATATCCAAGGATGAAATTTCAAACGAGAAATAGAATGCCCTTTGTTTTCCTTGGAGCTTAGCAAATTGAAATCCTCTAAGTCCTGTGAGGTCAGGTATTTCGAAAAGGGAATTATAGGAAGAAACTTATTATTTAATTTGAACCTTTATTTTCTCTTCCAGTATTTTGTAGTATGTCACACTAGAATTTCATAAGGTGATTTCATTCTCGTATTAGTACTTCTCATGCAGTCACAAATTGTTTCTTTGAAGCCATTATGTGTTATATTTCCAGCCATCAGGATTCATCAGTAGTCTAAAACTGTGTAGTCATTATTTTATCTTAATGATGGAACATTCTTCTTTCTTTCTTTTCTTTGAGACAGAGTCTTGCTCTGTTGCCTAGGCTGCAGTGCAGTGCCCTGATCATAGCTCACAGCAGCCTCGAACTCCTGCAGATCCTTTCAGTGCGGCCTCCCCAATAGCTGGGACTATAGGAGTGCATCACCTAGCTTATTTTTATTTTTTGTAGAGATGGAGGTCTCACTGTGTTGGTCAGGCATGTCTTGAACTCCTGACCTCAAGCAGTCCTCCCAAAGTGCTGAGATTACAGCTGTGAGCCACCGCACCTGGCTGGTAGAACACTTTTCCTTGACATCTCTAAAGAAGGTGTGGTTAGGCCACTGGCTGATTGACTGGTTGGGAAGCTGCAGGTCTGAAGTTCAGCCTTTCCTCCTTCATCATGTCTCTTGACTCCTTGAGATATCCTAACAGACTAAATCCTGGCAGGTCAGCCTCTGGGTACTTCTGCTGACTGGAACATTATAAATGGCTCCAGCCTTGTTACCTTTGTGTCTCTCTCTTTCTCTCTCTCTTTTTTTTTTTTTGGCTACCATTTCTTAAGAACCCTTTTCTGATTAGACATGGCAGAAAACAGTTTGAAAACACATGTTCATAGGGAAAGACAGGTGGGAGGTTAACTTCGTCTTCATTCCCTGGGGAAGGAAAGGAGAAAAATATCAGCTTACTAGTATAGTGTTTCCCTTCACTGCTAAACCAAATCTCTGCGTTAACCCAACGCTCTGACCTCAGTAAAATGAATTATTCCTCTTGTCATGAGACACAACTAGAGATTAGCAAATGACACCATTTAAACAGCTTGGGAGAAGGGTATCCATGGCAGTTTGCTGCCCCTGGGTACAAGCCAGTACAAGCTTAGCTTCCCCAGAGAGGACAAGACTTCATAATGGTGAGGGTGTGGGTGATTGCTTTCGGAGGGGCTTTGTTGTTGTGGCTGTGCCCCAGATGACTCACTTGATTGGGCTGAGTCACTGTCTACTGCCTGGGCTCTGGGGACACACAGCCTCTGTTTCCCACATGAACCTTTGATTATTTGACATTCCTTTTTCATCCGCCATCAGGAGAGAACCCTTGGACTCTTTCATCCATTTTTTAAAATTTGTTTTTCCTTAGCTCATGAGCTGAAGACTCTTTTATTCACACTGAGATATGAGGGAAGATGGGAAGTTCTAGTTTGGGAGGAAGCAGTTGTTTTTTTGTGAGTGGCAGTAGAGGACATTAAAGGAGTGAAATCCCCCGATTCACGGATCATAGGTCAGGTATGGGTGGATAAAAAAAGTGTCTCTCCTGGGCTTGGATCCTTGTGGAAATAGAATATATCAGGGCTCTGGGTTAGTTTCTGGAATTTCACAGTTACCCATTTTATCATTGTTGCCTGTGAAATTGAGTGTTTTAAAGGATGCTAATTAATATTAGAGATGTTATATGTTTTGGCTGAATGGCTGAGTATATAATTCAACATATTACTATAAGGCTGAAGCCAAACATCACCATCATAAAATGAGCTCCTAGGATATAAGAATAAATTACAAAATTTATCAGAATTTTAAATTATTATCACAGTCTCAATATTTAACATTTTAATGGTCAAAACTTAAAAGTCTGGGCCGGGCACAGTGCCTCACACCTGTAATCCCAGCACTTTGGGAGGCCAGGGCAGGTGGATTACGAGGTCAGGAGATCGAGACCATCCTGGCCAACATGGTGAAACCCAGTCCTTACGAAAATACAAAAAATTAGCCAGGCATGGTGGCAGGCGCCTGTAGTCCCAGCTACTCAGGAGGCAGGGCAATCACTTGACCCCGGGCAGTGGAGGTTGCAGTGAGTCAAGATTGCGCCACTGCACTCCAGCTGGGTGACAGAGCAAGACTCTGTCTCAAAAAAAAAAAAAAAAAAAGTAGAAGTCTAACACTTTAATGCAGGAAGTGACCTTCACTGTTAGCTAAAGTACATGGTCATCTGTTAGCAGGAAATCTAGAGGGCAGGGTTGGTTTGTGTGTCTGTGGTCATGATGCTGATCCAATGCGACAGAATCACACACACGCCCAGGACCACAGACCATGCACGGGTTCAGGGCCGTCTGTGATGATGCTGAAGTCGGCATTTGCCTATTCAGCATTCCAGGGCCAAAGCTGAATAGCAGACTGGGCTGAAAGTCAAGGCTGGAGCTGAATGGCAGTACATTCTACAATTGATCCCCTTCCCAGAAATGATTTTCCTCTCTAAGGTTGTGACTGTCTACCTGGAGTGAAGTAGTCAGTTCCAAAGAGCTTTTTGACCATGCTTTTCATGGTTTTATTAGTGTCCTGCTTTCCCATGAAAACTCATTTTTTCTTCCCCATGGGTATTTTCATGGTTTCACACCCTTTTCAATGTACCCTTTTGTATTTATCACCTTAGCTTTAATAAAAAACTTGAAATGCATAAACTACACACACACCTTTCTCACATGTAATTTTAAATTTGTTTTCTCTTAGGCAAAAGGAGCCTGGTGCTCTTCAGAAATGAGAAATATTGATAATGTCCCTGTGCTAATAGAGCCCTGGAGGTTAAGTGCTGACAATGGCACTGAAGCCAGAATACTCTTGAGTTAATGTTCTCAAAGCAGGCCTGTCACAGGCACCAGCTTAGCTCCCATGTTTTCTGCCATTCCTGTATGTGATGCAGTGTTAGAATTTCCCAGATCCTGAGCAGGTAGAGGATGTATTCCTTTCTTACTGTTATTCTTTCCAAGGTCTTACAAATAAGTTCATCTTTCCTCAATTGGTTTATTACTTACATGCCAGGTGCTTATTTTTTGAGTAGAGAGGCCCCCGGCTTTAGTGGGTTAGAAAGTCCCCAGGAACCAACAATGGACTGAATCTCCTGTCCTCTCATCTGTCACAATCAAATGCATGATTCTCAGGATGGCCCGGTTTGTGGGGAGGAAGTGGGTTTGCTTTCATTCCATTCTGCTGCCTTTGTGTGATCCACTTATTCAGCAACAGTATCCAGAGGGTCTCCAAAGGACAGGACACTCTGCTGGGCTCAGGGAAGCCGATGTGAGCAAGGCTAGCCCTGGGCCTGCCCCCACTGGGCTCTTGGTCTAATTGGGGAGGTGGACATTAAACAAATGAACACAAAGACACAGTTACCAATGGGATAGTTTGAGAGAGAGAATCACAGGGAGAATCTAATTTTGATTGGGAAGTTAGGGAAGGCTTCTTAGAGAAAGTGACATTTAAGCTGAATCTGTAGGTAGAATAGGGGTGGCTAACTTAAGGGATGTGGAGAGTGTTCCAGTCAGAGGGAACAGCATGTGCTAAAGCCAGGAGACCAAAAGGAGCGGAGCTCAAAGAAGGCAGCATGACCAGAGCTCGGTGAGGCCAGAGATGGGGTTGGAGAGCAGTGTGGGTGGAGGCACACTTCGAAGAGTCCGAAGCCCAGCAGGCTCACTCCTCATAAGAAGTACTATTTACATCATTACCCAGTACACACAGATGTGCAAGTTCCTTCTCAGACTGTGGAAACCTGACTTCCCATAGCCTTAGTAGATTTACCCACTTGCTCTCCTGTCCCCTCTGCACAGTGACACGGGGCCCTCCTTATCCACTTGAGCTGACGACCCGTGCATCCCCCCTGCACTCCCTCAACCCCTGCATGAAGCTGGTCTTGTTCTGCTCCATGTAATTGAGTGGCTTTGGGGCTGAATTGTTCAGGTAAAAAGGAGAAGAGCTCTAGCTTTTAACTTCTTACACAGAAAAGATTTTTGGATAGAGGTGAGTTGAGAATGAAGGGCCAGTGAGGGGATTAGTCAGCTTGGGCTGCTATAACACGATATCACAGATGGGGTGCATTCAACCACAGAGATTTATTTTCTCACAGTTCTAGATGTCAGAAGTC